ACGCGCTGCCGTGCGCGCTGGTAGGGATGAACGGCGAGTTAATGAGTCAGTACATCGAGTTTGTCGCCGATCGGTTGTTGGGAGCGTTAGGGTACATACTACAAGTTTGAAACTGACAAATACCCTTAGCGCTCCATTTTAAAAAAGCTAGGAGCAATTTTACGAGCGTTCTTAAGGATGAAATATAGAGGAGTAGAATTAATATTTCACCTTTATTTTATACTTTAAAAAATCTATATACCTTTATTTTTATAAAATATAAGATATCTTTACACTAAAAATGTTAAGTCATTTAATCTTAACTACATAACAAATGAGATTTAAGTGGGAATTACATTATAACTATTTAACTTATGACAGTAACTAAATATTTTAATATTTTTAATATCAAAACATTATATTTTTTGCCATTTTATTCTTACTTAATAATTAGTAAAAACAGTTTTGAAAATTTTTTGAATTCAAGATGAACTGATAAGAAAAACAAAAAAAAAAGAATACTTTTTAAAAAAATTTGGCTCCAACCAACGGGAGCTTACCTTTAAATCTTCAAGAGAGTTTATTTTCAATAGAAAAAATCACACACCGTAATTTAGGCCTCCAAGCTGGCTTGTGGTCCACACACGAAAACATAGTACCACCATGTGGTTGGCGCCTGGCCCAACCCATGGGCGGATGGGCCACATGCGAACCTTCAAAAACTTCCAGCTGGCACCATCGAAATTTCCCGCCCAATCCTACTTTCCAATTAAACCCTCCCTAATTCCATTTTTTTGCATACCAAATTACCATCCATTTTTTAAATTAAGCATTTAACCTTAAATAAGGGAGTGAGAATATTTCCCTCCCATTTTTAAGCCACATGTTAGCTTAAGTGGGCCACACAGTGGCTTTCATGGCACCACACAATTAGAATTGGGAATTTTTGTCAATGTAGTTAACGGCGTTACATAGGGTAGATGAAAATGAAACAATTTTGAAAGTTAGTAGATGGGTTTGAAAGAAAACAATGATTCTAGACTAAAATGAAAAAAGAGTAATAGTTAATAGATGATTTCTTAAATTAAGCCGACATTACTAACGAGAAGTTGAATAAAGTGGTAAGCAACTTGTTTCAGCTTAAATAAGGTTTTGAGTTCGAGACCTTATATATGCAGTAGTTTTCGTTGGGAGACTCACTCATCATTTTCAGGTGCGCGACGCGGGTTGGGTTCAGATTAGTCGGAACGAAGCTCCGGATACCGAGCAGTAAACCAAAAAAAAAAAAAAATCCAAAGGGCATTGTAGTAAGAGAACATTCTGTTTTAGTGAAACCCCCAAGTTACCCTTCAGTTCATTCCCCTACAAGCTTCAGATTTTATTTTCAAAATTTTCCTAAAGAGTTTTTCACAGCTCAGCGTTACAGGTTAAGAATAATTTTTTTTTATTATAAGTATATAAAAAAATTTATAAAAATTAACATTAATTTTAATTTTAATATCTTGTGAATGAATTTAATT